CCACCCACAAAAATGAGAAGGCAGTAGAAGACCTCGTATTGCAGCCACATTCATTATTATGAAATTTTCATTAAATTGTGGAGGTTTGTTTATTTCTTTGTTTGCTTGTTTGCTTGTTTGTTTGTTTGGTTGGTTGGTTGTTTGGTTGGTTGGTTGGTTGGTTGGTTGGTTGGTTGTTGGTTGTTGTTTTTTAGAGCAAGAGAGCAGTTAATCGAATAATCAGACTATCACTTTCAGTAACGTAGGCGTCTTAAAAAATCAAAACCCATTTTTGAAAAATAAGACCGTATTTTTCGTTCATCAGTCCTAGTTTTTTACTTTCAGAAAACACACACAGAGAGAGAGAGAGAGAGAGAGAGAGAGAGAGAGAGAGAGAGAGAGAGGGAGGGAGGGAGGGAGAGAGAGAGAAGGAGGGAAGGGGAAAGAGAGAGGGGGAGAGAGTGAGTGGATGAGTGAGAGTGGGAGAGGGAGAATGTTATGAGGCATAGAGAGAGAGAGAGAGAGGGTGCGGGAGAATGTTTTTGCGACTGATATTGTGTTTCTGTACATATTATAATATTATTGTCTTCCTGGTTAACTGTATTATCCTTGAGTGCTCATGAATTTTGTAATTCTCTGCCGTTTTAAACGACCAAAACAAATTTCTCCCCACGAGATGGATCAAAAGATTATCATTGTCACTGTCATTGAGAAATTGTCATAAAAAAATGTTTTTCCATTTTGTTTCCAGATTCATTGTAAAAGTTTGAGGAAGCTGGAAGTGAACATGGGCTCAGTGCAGCTGTAGCGTTGAGGTATTCAGCTTTGCATGAGTAGCAGCTGTAGCATTGAGGTATTCAGCTTTGCATGAGTACATCACAACTGCTGCCATGTTGAACATCTCCAAGGCAGATTCCCCTAGACAAGGTAAGTTCAGAATTTTCGTTTAGTTTTAACTTTCAACCCTTTGAGCCCTTTTATAGATCCTGGATAGATGGAGTCATAGAAAACATTAACCACCCTCGGCATCCCCCTGACCCAAGATCTCCGGCTTGCAACAGAGAGACGTCTCTTTCTTCCCGCGACACAGAAAAAGGTACAAGCAACAGATAAAAGTAAAATAAAGTAAGAGGCCTTTTATAAACCGGTAGCGTGTAAAACTGCCTGTATGTCTAGCCACCGGTACAGCTGTGAGTGAGACCTTATCCCCAACCTGGCCAGCCTAGGACAGAGTGCACACATGGAACACAGTGTTAACTACACAGGACGTTACTGATTATTTTGAAGTTCT